CAAATTTCTGAATGTCAAAAGCTAAAACTTAACAGGAACCGATCACATTCCTGCATTCTTCATTCTTTTTTTAACCAAAAGCATTATAGTTTCAAGGTTGAATATGGAACACTGACACTGGCAAACACTCTGGCGAATCCTTATCAAACAAGATTAGAAAGGTTACTTTTACTGGCCCATAGACTCCTATAGGGAGTCTAAGTCTCCTCCCTTTCCGGTCGGTTCACGGGTTCCCGGAAGAACAAAAAAATGAATGCAAGTCAACGGGGCTAAAAGAGCTGTTTTCTAATCCGCTTTGCCTTACGCCCCGGATCACACATATGTTGTACTGCAGTTTAAATGAAAACTAATGATGGGTGTTTTGACCACGCCCGTCACGTACTTTGAGATTTATCAGAGTGTAAAAGTTTGTAATTAGCATGACTACAAACTAGATACCGGCACGTTACATATATGATGTCGCCACAGAATCTCCTCTCCCCTAGCATAGCGGCTACTTACCAAATGACCATATTAATGGTGTTTGTTCCCTCCAGGAAAGGAAGGATTTGAAGTTTGCTGAACTTACAGCCATTTTCCCTCAGCTTTCTCCGTATCTGGTTCGATGACATCACTTTGTGAAGCATTTGTAGTCCTGGACTTATTTTCACACAAAACCTAAAATAAGTGCGTTCTTGGTATCAAAATGTGTCTTTACAATTCGCCATGGCACAAAACAAGCGGAATTAGAAAATAGAGTTTTTAGCCCAAATGACTTGCAATCAGTTTTTCTTTCTTCTGGGGACATGTGGTCCGGAAGAAGACGGGCGTGACTTGAGCCTAATTTGTGCTTCTGTGTCAGCTTCGCGAGGGAGAGATGCACACACACTGACAGAGATGTTTTGCTTTCAGACTTCTCTGTTAACTGGGGATTGCTGCTAAACAGTTTCCCGCCCCAGGACAACAGAGGGCATAGCCTATTGCGAGGTATCCTGCCACCATTACAGTCACGTAACCGGTCCACGATAGTGTGTTTGCTTTTGTGTACATTGTTTTAATGTATGTCAGAGACTTTTTTTTTAACATGGACAAATTTGTCCCTCATTCCTCTTCACCTCTTCATGCAATTGGCACCTCTAAACTACGTTTCTCGTCTTTTCTGTCCACGGATAAAACGCCTGCTGCATCTATGACAAATTGTGACGAATGAAAACAGGAAGCAGTATCCTGACCAATCACAAGCCTGCAGTCTCTTTCGACGGATAGTTAAACGTTGGGGCATGTCTCCGTCAGCCTCCAGCCCGTCAGAGGACTCTTGCGTTGACGCATAATGGCGGTGTGTCCGTGCCGACGCAGACGGAGAAGTATAAATCAGGGTTTAGGCTGTGTATCATCTGAACGCTCCTTCAGCTCTTTCTGTAAGCCTCTGTGTAGCACTTACTTCTGTTTCAGTTTCTGCCTTTACGATTGCTTTTCAAGATATGCTATTTTTAAATAAAATACTAAAAAAATAGCATTTGTAGGTTTAAGTCTTTAGCAGTTCAAAGTGACAATGTGTAAAACTTTTATAACCGTTTGTTACAAATCAGCAAATGTGTTCTGTCCTCGCAGACTCCCATAGAAGGAAACATGGCGTCTAAAAAGGCATCGCCCGGAGACCTGCTCCCGTGTATGTTAGATCAAATTTTTATGGTTACATGTTACAAAGCCGCCACATTTTCCAACATGTGGGCATCATTTAATTCATTTTCAATATTTTAATGGATATTTCCAGAGATCAACGGTAAAAACTACAGTTTTACAGTTAAAATCAAAAGAACATTTAGCATCAAAGTACCTGATTCCTGCAAACTCCACCTTCTGGGTTACATATGCACATGTGCTCACCTGGAACACAAAAACCAACATTTCACATTGTTTCCCATACAGTTTTGCACTGAGAAAAGCTTACAAACAACCTACCAAACTCTTCTTCAGCCTCCACATGTCTCCTCTGCCAATGTACTGGTCTTTAAATGTCAGCTCCACCAGGTCTAGTGTTACATCCTTTAAGGGGGTAAATGCTAGAATATCAGCATCTTGTTCCACTAGCAAAAAGAAAATGTGAATATGTTCCAGCATGAACGTACCTTAGGGTCAACAATGTTTACTATAACATCCTGATAAGCGCGGAGCTTGAAAGCTTGAGCTACAGTCTGATCCACACTGATAGTCTCTGAAAAAGACAAAGATGTCCATCATTTTAATGAAAAAAGAAAACTGGCAAGCCGTTTCCCTGGCTCAAATACAGACATGTCTGAATTAGTAAAGATCAATTACTTTTTCAATTCACCTCTTCAACAGCTTAAAGAGCAAGTCACAACCTACAAGTCCCATTTGAAATATGCACCTAAAGGAGGTGCTGTCTGGCGGACCAAGAGGGCGGAGCTTCAACAGATAAACTACAACTCCCATAGAGCTCCGGACGTCACGTGACTCTCAGAGCGTAGACGCCATGTTGGCAGGCAACAAAGGTAAACAAAATGAACGGGATCAGCTTGGATTTTACTTCGTCGACGTTTACTTCACACTTTAAAACCGAAGAAATCGTTTTATATAGTCAGAAATTAAATAGACTAAACATCTCCGACCCTTATCGTGCCCCTGGGATACTTTTTAAAAACGCCAGAAGCTGTCGGAGCTGACTTCTTACCGGACCTGGTCGGGGAACCCCTTGGGATTTCCCCGGAGGAGCTGGCCCAAGTGGCTGGGGAGAGGGAAGTCTGGACCTCTCGATGCTACTGCCCCCGCAACCCGACTCCGGATAAGCGGATGAAAATGGATGGATGGATGGACAAATAACATAGATTTACATGTAAGTAGTTTAAATAGAGTGCTGTGCTGTTTGAATGTATAAAATGGACGCCAAGAGAAATCACTAGCTTGATTTTTTTCCGTGAATAAAATAAATATGTCAGGCAGGAGCGTCTCAGGATCCCCCCTTATGTTGGTGGGCCCCTAGCCCTGACCGCCGGCACCCCTCTGTTAATGTCACAATGGACTATTCCTTTAAGATGCTAATGCACAAACAGGAAACGAATGGTAGTCATTCCACCCCAATCCAGTTTTTGGTTAGCCTGGCAAGCCAGACTAAATAAATGTATTATTTAGTCTGGCCACGCTCCATTGACTGCTCTCGGTTGTGGGGCGGGTTCTACTGTTGTCTTTCAAATGATCTCCGCATTCCACTGGACAATGAATGTGACGTCTTTTTGTTTTACTCTGTTGCATCATCCCACCCACCAGGCATATAGAGTGCCCTGATTGGCCCACAAAGCGGATAAAGCTCTGTGATTTGTTCAATAAGCAGATAGAGCACTATGATTGGCCCACCATTATGGACCAATCACAGCTCTTTATGTGTTTGAAACCCCTCTAGAGAGCTGTGATTGGCTAGCCAGAGTCCTGGTAGGAGCTGCTGAGGTTACAATGGAGCATGCCTAGACCATTCTTTGCAAAGCAAGAATTTGGTCTAGTTCACTAGGCTAGTTGTTGGTGGTAATGCAACAAATCGTTGTTTGCCAAGTGCCGTAAGACCACAAATAAGAAGAAGAGAAAGCAGAAGAAGAGAGGCGGGAGCGTTCGTAACAAACTCAAAGCGGTATTCAAAACATGAAATGGCGTTATCCTAGTGCGGGGGTTGGCAACCCGCGGCTATAGAGCCGCATGCGGCTCTTTAGCGCTCTCTAGTGGCTCCCTGGAGCATTTTCAAAAATGTTTGAAAATGGAAAAAGATGGCGGAAGGAAATACATTTTTTGTTTTAATATAGTTTCTGTAGGAGGACAAACATGACTCAAACATTCTTAACGTTTTTCAGTGCTGTAAAAATGTGTAGAAAAACATTAAATTTCAACATTTCTGTCAACGAAGATTTGCGTCATAGCCTGCGACACACGTTTCTATCAGCCGGGCGGGATGCCAGGCAGGTGGCTGTTGTAAACTAATCGGCGGCTGTGTGATGGGCCATGGATCCCAAAGGGAAAAAGAGAAAAATAACTGAGGAGAACAGAGGATTCAACGTTTCTTGGACCGAATCATTTGCATTCATTGCCAATGCGGAAGGATTGCCTGAATGTTTGCTCTGTAACGAGAAGTTGTCAAATAACAAAAAGAGTAATGTGGAAAGACATTTCCAGGGAAGGCGTGCTACATTTGCAGCCGAGTATCCAGTTGGGAGTGAGAGAAAAAGTGTGATTGCATTACTTCTTGAGAAATTAGAGGAGCACAAAAATAGATTTAAGAAGTGGATTGCATCTCCAAACTCCACTACTGCTGCAAGTTTTGTTGCAACCCGGGAGATAATAAAGCGTGGGAAACCGTTCACAGACGGTGACTACATGAAGGAGTCGTTTTTATAAATGCAGGCTGCGTTTTATTGCACTGTTTGTTGCCCCGATGAGGGGCATGTCATGCACGTTCCATTTTGTTGTTTTTTCGAATCCTAAAAATAAAAATGACATCAAAAATCGGATTTCTTTATTGCATTTCTTTAATTTCATCAAAGCAATGAAACATGATTCATTAATACTGTAATGAAGTTAAACTTGAGGCGGCATCGTACAACAGAGTAGTCACGTGGTGCGTCATTCTCTACAGGATGCGCTACAGGGAAAATCAACATTTAATCATCAAGGCTCATTATGCATTTGTAGCCAATCATTTTGATAGTAGGCTAATATAGATACATACAGCATGTGTTACCTTCATTATAAGGCTCATATAAGGCTTTTAATTTTTTGCGGCTCCAGACATATTTGTTTTTTTGGTCCAACATGGCTCTTTCAACATTTTGGGTTGCCGACCCCTGTCCTAGTGGCTCCAATAAGAGAAAGAAGCAGCTTTAAAAAAGCTTTTATCTTCACTTCTGAAAGTAATGTTGTTTTTCAATGTAAACATCAAAAGGAAGTAAGACTATAGAAAATGTTTAAAGGGAGGAAAACATGGACCAAAATAATAAATCGTACACCACACCACGATCACAAGTTCTATTACCCTACAATGAGTCGTCGTTTTTCTAAATGCATGTAAACGTGTTAGTCTGGCTAAAGGTGAACTGTTTCAAGTCGAGCTGAAGCACCCAGATGTAGCAATCTGAATACATTCTGCATGTAAAGGGCTCAGCTGAGATAAACCAGTAGGACGCTCACGTTACAGAAGTGACGAGACCGCGGATGCCATCTTTTGACAAGACCATCGTCACAAAGCAACCCGTGTAACACCATAAAACAGGACAGTACGTACCAAACAAGCTGTACTGCAGCCTTGTTGTACATTCCTTCAGTCATTTTGCGTATCCTGTTCAAATTCTGTCTGCTTTACTCCTGCCAGTCTCGGTTTACTGCTTGTGTTGCTATAAGCTAACCGGGAAAATGCCGACATGAAATGTCGTCACTTTTTGTACCAGCGTGGAACGAAGTATCTTAAAAGGCTGGTTTCTAATTCGCATGTAATGTGCCGGTGTCAGCGGAGGAGGAGCGCGGGGCTCATTCCGCTACCGTGCGTCGTCCGTGACTGCGAGGGAGGGGGGTGGACGCTTGGCCTGGTGGGGGTCTAAGCAAGGTCTGGCAGCCCGCCAGGCCTATAAAGTACTGGGGGAAACCCCGGACTCCCAGGTTATCCAATAAGGTCAACCTGGGTGAACTTGTCGGTCAGGGAGCATGCAACCGCACTGACTCAGCTTTAAGGGGTTGGCCTGGGGGGGTTAAACCACCAGAGCTCACCACTTCACACCGGGGTGGGTCAAATGCAGAAATGTCATTTCACCAGCGTGTGATGATGACTAATGGGACTTTGACTGTTTTTTACCTCATCTGAAAGGAATGCTGTAATAGCAAAAATGTACAGTTATTGTTTCGTGAATTATGAAATACTGAGACATACATGCAGCCTTCCAGTTACTCCCGGCCCTTTGAGGGCAACCATAATGCTGACGTGGTTCTCAGTGAAAATGAGTTTGACACCCCTGATCTAGATGAAGCTGAAGAGAACCGCTGAACAGAGAATGTGATACGGTTGTTGGTGCTGCTTCACTTGTCTGATCTACTGGGATTTGAGCCCACAATCAGGAGTTTACAGAGAATGGTTCCAACCAGGGTCTGCAGAACAACACCAGCTGCTCCAGATGGACTCCAGCAGCAGAAGACCACACTGGGTTTTCACTCCTGTGAGCTAGGAACAGGAAACCGAGGCTACAGTTTCCACAGGGTCACCAGAACTGAACCAGAGGAGGCTGAAAACCTCTTTCTTTGGTCTGATGAGTCTGGATTTCAGCTGAAACATTCAGTCCTAAATCTTTGTGGGACTAGTGAGAGGTTTGTTTGTTTACCTTTCTGAAGATCCTCCTTTAGGCTCTTCACTTGCAGCAGAAGAGGACTGTGGATGTACAAATACAAAAGATCAGAGCAAAGGCACAGCAGTGAGGATGACGTTGTTTAAGCCTTGTGCACTCGCCTGTATTCATCTGTTGGGTGCGCGATTTCTATTATATCCCCCAAGCTGACATGAGGGAAGACTTTAGGGTTGACAACCAGCTCGTCATCTGTTGGAAGAGAAAGCCCTATGAAGTGTACGCGACAGCTCTTGGAGCTTCTCATGATAAGGTCAGACGAGGAGCCAAAGCCGTGGAAGTTCTTACCGCTGCCACCAAAGCCCTTCTTGTGCAGCACCAGCTTATAGGACCTACTCGTCTTCATTCTGACCCCGCTGAGAAACAGCAAGTTTATGTCATTAATGGACAACCACACCGCTCCCACATCTCTGCACAAATACGTACATGTTCACGGTTACTGCGTTTAATAAAGCACAAAATACGCAGCTATTCCAGAAAACTCACCAGCAAAACTAACTTCTAGGAGCTCACGAAGCGGAGCTGCTGTTAGCATTCCACGTGACTTATCTCAGGAAGTTGACAGGTAGTTAACTAACCAGCTCTAACATAACTAACTAGTGACAACTGGTACAGTTGCTGCCAAGTAAACATGTAAAGCTGTATGCTAACTAAAGCTGTATGCTAACTACGTAGCATACAGAAGACGTGTTTACTTCCTGCAAAACGTTGGAAATGCGTAACGTGATTGGTCGGTGTTGATCGGAGATCGTTTAGTGAGACAGGAATGATCACTCCGCTTCAAATCCACAAGATCCGACCAGCTCTGGCAACAACCAAATACATGTCCAGATTCTGGGGATGCGTGCTAATGAGGTGAGTTTTAAGACCAGTGACGTCACAGCGCCGTGAGGAAGTCTGTCCAAAACCAAGGAGTGCTCAGAATGAGGGCTTGTAATCCGTTTTTCTTTTCCCCGAATTTGAGAACGAGTGCGGCTCACCTCACCCCTACCGAGATGCACTGCGGGACAGGTGTTGTGAGAAATTCTGCTCCTCTGAAACCTGATCCCCCGTCTCGGGAGGTCTCACTTCAGGCAATCTTCACACTATTTGTGGTCGACTTTTACAGGAAAATTATGTAATGGAATAATGTCATGCTTGTGATGTTTTTATTTATATTTCGTCCTAAAAACAAAAAAAAGTACATGAAACCTTGCTGTTCACTCTTTTCCAGCATGTTTATTTTTTGAAAGTTGTTCTTGACTCGTGAGATCTGCCCTGCGAGGAAGTCGTACAGTTTGAGCTGAAGCTGAGTGCTACGAGTGAAAAAGTCACACAGTGTCCGCCCAGCTTAGGGTAGGCTATCGTTCAACTGCAGTTTGTCAAAATAGGGGGGGGGGGGGGGGGGGGGACAAAATCCTGCATAAGCCCCCTGCAATGCTAGAAACGGCCCTGCCTACATGCCCGATACAGGATCTTTAAAGTATTTGTTCAAGCTAGCAACAAGGAGACTCTCCTAGACTCTGTCTGCTTCCATCCAAACATTCCCACAAATTGGTGTAATATATACGTAATGAGATATCTTTAAAAGAATACATTTGTTAAGGTTCTCATTCAGATAACAGTGTGTGTGTGTAAAAATGAGTGTTTTGTGCAAAGGCAACTTAATGAATGAGGTCCCTGCTCATTTAACACAATCAGCTGACTGCAAGCTAGTCGACATGTTAATTCTTAACTGTTTGGTTTGTGCAGAGTCAGCATTAGCTGCTAGATGTTGGCTCAGAGAAAAAGTGGACTAGGAGGAGTTTCTTCTCTCGACTCAGCTCCCATTTGCTCTTCACTTCCATTAAAAATCAGAAAGATTCAGAAAAAAACTGCGTACAAATATCTTCATTCTAACTGAAACGGAAACGCACAAGACGCAGCTTAAAATATTGGCTGTTTATGGAAGATTAGTACTTGATTCAAAATCTGAAATAACTTTGTTTTTGTTTTGACCCGCTGCTGTCTGCAACAGCTGAACTGATATGGGTCAAGTAGACACGTCAGAACCATCGGGACACATTCATCTGTATTTTATTCCTTTATTTAAACAGAATATTCCAACACAAATCACACATAATTCCAGAATGGAACTAATTCAGACTCTCACTGAGGTCACAGTTGTAGCCCGTTCCACACTGAACGTGAACAGAGCAGGTCGGGCTTCTGCATGGCTTCCGGGCAGTCTGTTATTCACACTGACTGCAGTTCATGTGCTGAACGTCTCTGGATATCTGCTCCCACAACAGCACCAAATAATTAGAAATTCAACATTATACATTTAAAAATATACCTGTAAATATAGCGTGAACTTCCCTTAAAATCCCAAAGGTTTTATGATGAAATACAGCAGAAGACTCCTAGTGGACAGGCACAGCGCATTTAGTGCCTCACTTCCTGTCTAGCTTTCATTTCATCAATTTGTGTGCAGCATCTGGAAAAAATCCACTCCATGTGGAAACTTTCCAGAGCCATGCATCTGCATCCGCACTGCACTGCAGCTATTGTGAATGCTCAGAATGGACTCTGATCTTTGGTCCGCTGAAGCCGTACAGAAACGGACTCGCATCCATTCTGCACTCTGTGTAAAAAAGCCTTAGAGCCATTGCTAGTCACACAGCAGTACCAGCACTGGTGTGACTAGCAAGATTTATATCATTTGAACAAGCTAATTTTGAGATTAGAGAATTAATCTCTTAAAATGACTAAAACACACATTTTAATTTTCTAATATCAAATGTGAGTGCATGTGATTTAAATAAAGAAAAATCAAACTTAATTGTCAGAAAAAAGTCTGAAAAATGCAAAGAGAAACAAGGAGCAATGAGAAGTCTTTCAAGCGACGGGGTTCTGCTCTGTTCATTAGGTTCTGTGGTGCAGAACCCAGCCAGTCAGCACAGGAATGGAAGCAGATCAGCTGTTACGAAGTCTTCTCTGGCATCCTTTCAGCTGTTGGTTGGTTGGTTTGCTCCAGTTTTTAAATAAAGTTTGCAACTCTAGTTTATTTCCCACTGTTCTGTGATAAACTAACAGAGACATCAGGGGCGGCGTTAGGCCCGGCTACTTGGGCTGAAGCCCCGGATGTTTTATGAAAAGCCCCGGATCTAAATCGCTGAAGTAACATGCAGTACCAAAGTCCAACAGAGAGGGCGCAGCTGTCAGTAGTTTGTATACAGCCTGCCTGAGCCTCCACCACTGAAGAAGAAGCCCTTCAGCAGCCGGCTTCTTCTACACTCTCTGTCTGAAACGCATGAGTGAAGATGGACATAAGGATGTTTTTTAGACCAAAAGTACAACGACAGAACCCCAGCTTTGATGAAACTGGTGTTGACTCAGGTTTGTGAGTCTTATTTGAAAATATTTGTTGTGCTGCTGGTTTGCCTAAAGTTATCTTACTAGTTGTTGGAGAAAGAAAGGGAATATTTACTATCATCTCACACTAAACATTAACAGGAACAATACTCTGCCCTGAAAATGCTTAATATGTAGCTTCAGATTAAAAATTATGTGGCTCAAGACAAATATTTAAGATGTTGACTAGTGTGTGAGCGCCCGCGCGCGTGTGTGTGTGTGTGTTTGTGTTAAGCCCCGGATCTTCTTCAGTCCTAAATTCGCCCCTGGGAGACATTGTAGTGTCCACAAAACAAAATCAGACAAAAACAGTACACAAGAAAATGGATTTTCTAAGAAAACATAGTTTCCTGTTCTTGAGTTTTAACTGACAGTCTAGTGCCATTGAATTTCCTCACTTTCTTCCTGCACTTTCTGTCATGGTATGCGTCTGCGTCTCCCCTCATGTTTCTCCTTGTGTTCTCCATCCCTCTCTAGGTTCTCCTTTTGTGTCTCCTAGCGCCCTCATGTGTCCTTGTTCTGCGTCTTCCTCATGTGTCTCCTGGTGTTCCCCATTTGCCCCCAGATCTTCAGCCCTCTAGGTTTCCCTACTCAGGCATCCCCCTCCCAGGTCCTGTGCTCCCTTGGCCCCCTTTTAGTCACGCCCCTGTAGTTTTTCTTTCTGTAGTGTTTTTTCTCTAGTTTCAGCTTCCCCCTTAGAATATTAGTTATGTTTGCTGCCCTTCAGGTCTTTAGGTTTTATTCTTAGGTCATTTTCCTTAGCTACAGCTGTTCATGTTATAAGTCTCTCTAGTGTGTTTTTCCCATCAGCGTTTGAGGTTTTTTTCCCCCTCCTTAGATTATTAGATATGTTCCTGCTCTTCTTGTCTTTAGTTTTTATTCTTTGGTCATGTTTGTTCCCTCCCTAATTAGTAACTCTGTTCACCTGGTCGCTCTCCCCACACACCTGCAGGTCATCTCCCTCTCATCCTCCCCAGTGTATAAAGCCCTGTCTGTGTCACAGTGTCTTGTCAGTCCATTGTTTTGTGTCAGCGTTGTTTCATGCCTCGTCTCTAGGTTTTGTGCTCTATGTGAGCTTTCATTCTCCTGAGTTTCAGGACTTTGGTTTTTGGCTTCCTGCCCTTTTGGATTTTTGGTTCCTCATCCTATTAAAAAGGATTTTACTTTTAAACCGCTCCTGCCTCGAGTCATCTGGTGTTTTCTGCATCTTGGCTCCTAACCTCCTCCTAACTCGCAACGTGACACTTTCCAAAGCTGAAGAAGGAACAATTTTTGTATAGCAATCATTTGGTGCTTCACAAGAACACAACGCATGCTTAAAAAATGATCAAAAAAGATCAAAGTAAAAAATGGGAGAAAAGAGCAATTAAGATCAATAAATGTGAATGAAAAAGAAAAAGACAGAAGCGGCAAAAACACCATAAGAAAATACGCCAGCGAGGAACAATAGGTCCTCACTTTTCTCTGTAATGTCCGAAGCAAACACCTTTGTGCTTCTCTGCTCTGTTGCTAAAACATGGAACGTGTCAGTTGACTCTGGTTGTATCCGCTACAACTTGGAGACCACCTAGAAACAGAAACACAGGATTCTGAGTCTGCACCGACTACAGAGGGACATGGTAATTATTTATCCGTGGGACTCACGTGGTCTGATCCGGATCGGCCAGATGAGGATGGAGCAGAGCGCCAACGCTGCAAAAATCGCCACTCCTCCGGTTACGAAGACCATGATGTAGTGATAGAACCAGACACAGGCTGGACAGCACACCACCGTACTAACAAACACACAGAAGTATGGAGACATCTGGCATCGTGTGGCAACAATGCTGATGCTGAGCTCTAAAACACGTTCATTTGATTAGCACATGAATGGTTTCTGGGCTTAATGCAGTCCTGCCGCTGAAGCTGTGACCATGTGGAAGGTGTGCTCCTCACACATCAAAAACGTGCACACTGCAGCTTTTCTTCCTCCTCACCGGCTCAGATGGAGCAGGCGTAACACAGTTCTCTGTTGCCATCCAGTTTTTGGTTTAAAAAGTCTGCAGCAATTATCACGTTTAAACTCTGGTCCGCTCAGTCTGGCCCTGGCAGGAGAATTACATTACATTGTTCGTGTGGAGTCCACCTGTTTGCTGACACTTCTTTCCTGTGGTCCAACCCAACACACCCACCTACGGGCCTGACTGACCGACTCTCACGCGTTCCTTCTAGTAGGATGCGATTAGAATCAGCCAGCAGCGGTTTCCCACGTGCAATTTATTAGCAATCCTCTTTTTCCCCCTCTGGGCCCTGTCCAGCTGTAAAGCAATTAGAATTGATGTCCGAGTGCTGAAAAAAAGCCGTACAGTTTTACTCTCACAGAGCATTTTAGATTCAACTATAATGTCCTCTCAAAATTTTCTAGTTTCCTGGTTTCCAGTCAGGAAGAGCTCATTCTACTGAAACAGCTCTTCTTAGGGTCTCTAATGACCTTCTGACTCACAGTGATGCAGGGGACTGTTCTGTTCTGGTCCTGCTGGACCTGACTGCAGCCTTTGACACTGTTGACCATCACCTGCTGCTGGAGAGGCTGAGAGACTGGGTCGGCCTATCAGGATCTGCTCTGGAGTGGTTCTCCTCTTATCTCTCTGAGCGCTCCTTTTCTGTGGCCATCTCCAAGTTTAGGTCCTCCACCACCTCCCTTACCCATGGTGTCCCACAAGGTTCTGTGCTGGGGCCTCTGCTCTTCCTCCTCTATCTGCTTCCTCTTCCTCTTCCTCTTCAGGAGCTCCTTCAAAGGAATCTCCTACCATCTTTATGCAGATGACATCCAACTGTACATCTCCTTTAAGCCCCATGAGATGTCTAAGCTGCAGCTGTTACACACCTGCTTAGACTCTATCAAAACCTGGATGGTGGGAGCTTTCTTCAGCTGAATGAAGATATGACTAAGATCCTCATCTGTGCCCCAGATAAGCTGGTTCCCAAAGTCAGAGACTCTCTTGGTCAGCTTACACTTCAGGGTTCATTTCAAGATCCTGGTTCTGGTCTATAGGGCCTTACATGGACCAGCACCATCATACATTGATGATCTTCTCAATCCCTACACCCTCAGCAGGTCCCTGAGTTCAAGTGACCAAAGCCTACTGGTTGTGCAGCACCAGGCTAAAAACCAAAGGTGATGGATCATCTGCTGCTGTGGCCCCCAGACTCTGGACCTCTCTCCCCCTGAGCCTGAGGCCTAGTCCACACGTAGCCGGGTTTTTAAAAAAAAAAAAACAAATATCCGCCCCTCCAAAAACTTGCATCCACACCACCTCTTTAAAAAAAATGTCCACACGTACCCGGATAAATACGTTGTTAAGGACATGCCAGACCTGTAGGCGGCAGTACTTCCCCCGTTCTTAACCTCGTCCTTCATCTGTGGTCTTCCGCAAGGAGCAGTAATTCTGCTTGCAAAAACAAGCAAAAAGCGCTTGGACCATTGATAAAGCGAGCGCAGCTCTGAGGGCTTCCATGCTGTCGGCTAGTGTAAACACAGGTCGCACACGTGATGTCAGCATTTTTTTGTCGCGGAAAGTGACGTTGCGGACCTTAAAACTCCGGTTTTGTCTGTCCACACGCAGACACCCAAAACGGAGAAAACGCAGATCTTCACTTTGGCCGGAGTTTTTAAAAAGATCCGTTTTCGTGTGGATGACAGTCCAAAACGTAGAAAAATATCTACGTTTTGGCAGATCCCCGGCTACGTGTGGACAGGGCCTGAGATCCGCTGTTGTTGCGGTCGGTAGATCTTTTAGAACTGCAGTTCAAAGGTAACTCATAAGGTGAATATATATGAACCCAGGTAGCAGTTTCTCTTTAGGATTGAGAGGAGATGCAGGAAGATAATAAACAGGCAGGACAGAAAAATAGTCAAATAAAAACAAGTTAGTTTTTGTACCTGCTGGTTGCAACAAACAGACACCATTGAAGGTAATCAGAAGTGAGGAATAGAAAATGAAATAATTATTTTAATGTTTAGAGCAGCAGGAACTCTGAGAGGCTGCAGGCGCATCAGTGAGTTTGCGGCCGCTGCGCAGGGGGAGGGGGGAGAGGGCTGAAGCAGGGGGAGGGGGGAGAGGGCTGAAGCAGAAACTACCGTTGTTAAAAGAAATGTGTTTAACTTTGAAAATGTGGACGCAATTTTAATTGTCAAAAACTCCAGCGAACCATTAGTTCATTTTGCTCAAATAGAAATAGAGGCCTGCCTCTATTACTGGCCCTCCTTCCAATAAAGGCCTGGAGCTTGATGAGCTTGAGTCAAATACAGGCCCGGGCCTGTATTAGAGGATTTACGGTACCCAATAGTGCTTGTGGTTGTCTGGCTAAAAATGTGAATTATAAGTGAGTGTGTGACCGTGTGTGTGTGTGTGTATATGTTCTATATTTATGTGTGTGTGACTGTGTGCACTGAGTGTTGGAAAATTGCGTGATTGTGCCATGCAGATGTAAAGTTCCAGAAGCAGAGAAATAAATGCAGGAAAAGAAAGAATAAAAAAGGTTAAAAAAGAAGAAAGAGAAAAAAAGTAATGGTGTTGAGGGTGTGAGGAAACAGGTGAGCATCTCATCATCTAAACACTGGTCTAGCAGCTGACATGCTGAAACCAAGTGAACTCAGATTAGAATAAAACATGCGTGACCTAATGTTGGGCTACAAGAGCCAGCCCGTCACTCCTTGCTCCTTGTAGAACTTGTTAACATGGAGCTTGTCCCTGGTGATGGCGTCGTGTTTACGCAGCGGGAACAGGTCATTCACGCTCAAGTCTTTTCCTTTAGGTTCTCTCCCACGTCCTTTCACCAGGTGCTTCTGCTTGACGTGCTCGAATTTAGCCACAATGGGTTGGGGTCTTCTGCTGTCCACTCGTCTGGCTCCGATGCGATGGAGCCGGTGAAAGGTAACGTTTTTAACCGTTTCTTCAGGTATCTTCATGTGGGTTTGGAGGAAGTCCAGCTGCCTTCCCGTCTGCTCCGGCAGGCCTGCAAACACCAGGTTGTCTCTCATGCTGTGGGCCTGAAGCTCCAAAACCCATTTCAAGTATTTTTTTTATTTATTAAATCCCAGAGATTAAAAAGCTCTTTTACAAGGGGGACCTGGTCAAGATGGGCAACGACAAGCAATCACACCAAGTTTCTGACAAATGCTTAACCCTCTCAGGCTCAAAATAAGTTTTGATAAAAGGACGAACACCTAAGTCCTTCAGGGGTACTTCTGAGTTAAAAAATGCTCATGAAATACGTATGTGGAGTAACCAGGTAGGTAGCGATGGGTACCGAATTCAGTACTTTTTAAGGTACCAACCGAATTCCATAGTACCGACCGAGCACCGATTCACGTCATTTGAAACGGTGCCTCGCTTCGGTACCCGTCCTTCATAACGAGAACTTGCCTAGACAGCTGCGCATGCGCAAGAGCGTTATGTCGTCGCTCGCTGCGAGCCAGTTGTAAACAGAGCAGCATGGTAGAAAGAACGCACGCTAACGCTTGGGTCCACTTCACTAAATGTGATGGGTAACTGGGTGACGATGACACCAGCGACAACGATCTAAGTGAGACATCCTCATCTTAATCTGCTCCGGTAGGTAAATGAAATGTTTAAGATAACGTTAGCTTGATTTGTTAGCTTCCGTTTCACTAATGGTGCATTCGCTTTCTCCGTTTTTATCTGCTCCAGCAGTTAAATAAACTGTTAAAGATAGCGTTAGCTTGATATGTTAGCTTCCATTGCCACCATTGTTATCAGCTAATGGTGCGTTCGCTTTCTCCTCGGAAATTCTAACTTCCCAGTAGGAAAAATCAAAAGAAAAAAGACGGTAAAAGGAATGAAGATACACAGTAAATTTAGTTCACAGTAAAGATGTTTGCTTCAGTTTAATTATCAGCTTATAAAACTACAAGGACGACGTTAAAATACAAACAGTTGTATGTTATTTATCGTGATATTTATCAAATATGGTTATTTATTGAGAAAAATATATATTTAAAGAGCAAGTCAACCCCTACCAGAGTCTAACTCCACTCCCACTTCATGTTTGAAAAATGCAACAAATGCTGTTGCCAGGCAGACCGAGAGGGCGGAGCCACTAACAAATACACACACACACACACAGGCTCACAACGGCATTGTGACATCATAATGTACCAGTTTACATCATAGCATACTTCTTAGCCAATAGCGGTGGCAGATTTAAATTAAAATACAGTGCAGAGTTTTTACCTGACGACGGCACAACACTGCCAGTTTTAGGCAGAATATTTAAATTTGAACTAAGATGCACTGAAGTGCCAAATTATTGACGACACGTGTCTGCAGCACGATTAGACACTAATTTATTTAGGTTATCAGCAAAAAAAAGTTTATTTGGGGGTGACTTGCTCTTTAATTATAAAAGAGAATTAAAATATTAAACACTCAAAATTATCGAATATTGGTACCGATAAGTACCGGTATTGATTCCTAGGTACCGGGAATTAGTACCGGATCGATTCAAATGTCAAAGGTACCCATCCCTACAAGTAGGTAGGTTTTAACCTGCAACGCCTGCCTACAGAGGGTTCAAATGTTTTTATGTAAAAACAACACATAATATAGTAAAACTAGTTAAAATCAACAGTCAGAAGTAGTCTAAATGAAACAGTTACATGTCATGAAGGTTCTCGTCCCGAGGGAGCCGAGTCATTTCCTGTCAGAGAAGACTCGGACTCCTTCAGGGACGCATTCCCAGTAGCAAGCCTCTCCACCTGCTCCTGGCTGATTCTGGAATTCTTTATGTAGATCTTGTAGAAGGTGGAGACATCCCACAAATCCCAAAAGCCTTTTATCAATGGAATCCAGTGTTTCAATGATATCCTTACTGGGAGATGAGGTTGCCTTGGGGAGGATCCTGAGGTTGGCTTCTCCTGGTCACAGGTGTTTCTGGCTCGGCTGCTGACTTTTTGGGCCCCGTGACAAAACTTTTAAAAATGTGATCAATGTAATTTTGTAGACTCTAAACTTTCTTCACTGCCCTTCAATTTGTTGGCGTAAGTGTAGAATATTTCTTACTGGATTATTTACGTTAATAAATAAATTAGGCGAAAATGCGTCTTAATTATTTGCTAAAGTTTGTTAACGAGCCGAAATCTGGTTCAGACGCTGCCGTGGGCCCACACAGGGACCTGATGAACTGCTGTGTGTGTGTGTGTGTGTGCGTGCGTGCGTGCGTGCGTGTGTGTGTGTGTGTGTGTGTGTGTACTAACTGGCAGGGATGCAGAGCCTGAATCATCATCACAGCAATGCCATTGGCCAGCTTATCAGTGAAACTCATGGCTCCATACACAAATGCTCCACTTTGCTGCAAAGAGACACAATACAGATGGGGGGGGGGGGGGGGGGGGGGTAAAGCCCAGCTCTGGCTCGCAAACCAAACCAACACAGATGAGGAGGAGGCACATCTCACCGTCTGGTCAGAGATGAGCTCAGCTGTCATGGCCAGAGATATGACCAGAATGGTGGCTGAGCCGGCCCCCAGCAGCACAGCGGGCCCGTAGATCTGCTGACCCATCCTGTCATCCAGAAGCACCCAGTATGAGAAAGCCATGATTAGCAGCAGGCCCACAAAGTAGGTGAGCTGGAAAAAACAAACGACAAACAAACAAGACTTTCAAAGCTGTTTCCACTTCTTCTTTATTAACATTGAACCATTATTTTCCTGTTCCCTTCCTCACCGGACCACCTTTGGCCCATGAATCAGAACCTGTCTGTTAACCATTGTTGGCGCTGTGAAAATAGTTAAACCTCAAATTATTCTTCATTTCCACCTTTTGTTTATATGGGACTGCTCTATTGGCTGGAAATGCTGTACAGTCCAACAGAACTACTTGTTGTCCTGCTGTGAGACCTGTTCATCCATCCCACTTCCTGTTTTATTTTGGTGTCACCTCTCCTGTTTCAGCTCGGTTTCCTGTTCCTCATCACTCTGATTTCTCCCAGCTGTTCTTGTGTGTATTTAACCAGCTTCTGTTCTCTTTCAGTTGCCAGTTCGTTAGTTTTCATTCTCTCGCTCCAGCCAGGCATTAAGCTACTGATCTCTGGGTCCTTTGACTGAGGCCCTGTCCACACGTAGCCGGGGATCTGCCAAAACGTAGATATTTTTCTACGTTTTGGCCTGTCATCCACACGAAAACAGAGTTTTTTCACACGAAAACGGATCTTTTTAAAAACTCCGGCCAAAGTGAAGATCTGCGTTTTCTCCGTTTTGGGTGTCTGCGTGTGGACAGACAAAACCGGAGTTTTAAGGTCCGCAACGTCACTTTCCGCGACAAAAAAATGCTGACATCACGTGTGCGACCTGTGTTTACACTAGCCGACAGCATGGACGCCCTCAGAGCTGCGCTCGCTTCATCAATGGTCCAAGCGCTTTCTGCTTGTTTGCTTTTGCAAGAGGAATTACTGCTGCTTGCGGAAGACCACAGACGAAGGACGAGGTTAAGAACGGGGGAAGTACTGCCGCCTACAGGTCTGGCATGTCCTTAACAACGTATTTATCCGGGTACGTGTGGACAGAGTTTTTTTTTTAAACGAGGTGGTGTGGATGCAAGTTTTTGGAGGGGCGGATATTCGTTTTAAAAAAACCCGGCTACGTGTGGACTAGGCCTCAGTTCTGTTTTTGATCATTTTTTGTTGCCTTGTTTTGCCGAACTCTGCATTTGGGTCCAGTCCTTCATACCAGCCCCGACACTACTCATCGAGAACTGAACTTTTACATGAAGTACTGGAAAAACAGTCCAACATTTAGCGCTGCAGCTCCAGTAGCTGAAGCTGCTGGAGGATATCAACGGTTTCCACATCTTACTGGAGTCATCGAGGTATTACATTACTGCAACAAGGCTGAAAGCTGCAACACTGGTTTTCAGGCAAAATTACATTGTTGTGGTCCAGACCTGAGACCAGTACAGTGATGACAGATTGTTGTGCTACAGCAGGCTGTACTTACAGATTTTCCAATGTGTTTACTGACAGGCTTCATGATGAATGACGACAAAAAACCGCTGACATACATCACCAGTGGTATTGTTGCAATGAATTTCTACAGGAGGAGAAACAGAAATACCCAGAGATGAAATATCTGCAGACGTATCAAACATCTGAACAGCTTATGCTTACCTTGGGCAGGCCAAGAGTGTTAATGAGGTACATTGAAATGTACGTCTGGGAGAGATTCACTATGAGCCTGGTGGACATGTAGAGTAAAGCCACCTACAGAAACACAGTTTAGACCTGCTGGCAGTAGAAGTGAGGTGTGTTTGGGTTGGGTTTGAGTTCAAGGCTACTCATTAGAGAGGAGACGTATACCTGGTAGAAAGAAGGTTGCTGGAGCCAACATTTCCACTGCAGAAGAGATGAAGTTCTGTTAGAAGGACCAGGCAACAAAAGCTTTCGCTCCTCATCAGCCGCCTCCTCTTCAGTATTCTTCCTCATTCTGTCCTCCTCATCTCCAGCCTCCTCTTCTGCTACAGGGGCATGCCTTTCCGTAATTCCCAGGTGGAAGAAAATGGCAAAGAGTGCACCAATTCCCAGGACGATCAACGCCAGGTTCTGCCAAATAACAAACACTACTAATAATAAAACAAATCACTACTGTAACGCAATGTAAGTGGTTACATTTAATCAATAAGATGCCATACTCCATATAAATATGAACTATCAATATTATTGATCTTTAGAAATTTGATTTAGGATGAAACCAGGTCTTTTTGTAGTCAAGGGAAATCACACCTTTATAATAATTTGAGACAGAGGCAAAGTTAATAGTTTAGTTTAGAAAATGAATGTAATACTATATTTCTACTACTAATGATGACAGAACACATCATGATGAATGATGGTTGAAACAAGGTAACTGAGACAATGAATGAAATTGTAACGGAATGAAATGACTGTTTTCCACCTAAAAGTCATTTTCCCTCTCCTCAGCAGGAACTAATCTGCATGAGACTGCCTCAAGGTCATGCATTTGCTTCTAAACTGCTTCCTTTCCAGCTCAAGAGAAGAATGAAGACAAAGGACTCTTTCCTTTTAATTAGTCAATAGGGCTGTCGCGGTAACCGCAAAAATGAAATATCGCAATATGAAGAAGCCCACCGCGCTGCATCATGGGCCACCGCGATTACTGAACTTGGTTCAACTCAATGATGCATGTTGAGAAGGATGGCTGCACTGGTATCAAAACGAAACGTTACTTCGCTCCTTTGGGAGCGCTTTGGTTTTCAGTACGTCAGCTGCTGCGCAGCCAGAGTCCTTGGCCGAGACAGAGCTGCCACCAGCGGCAAAAATAAATAATAATAAACGCTCGGAGACCTGCTGAAGTCCCGGACAAGCACTGCTTCTGCAACCGTCCCGAAGAGAGTTTGAGCCGAGCTGGAGCTCACTCGCTACCTGCAGGAGGAATGCATCCACCCTAAAGAAACCCCCCTGACATGGTGGAGCAACAACCGGGAGAGATTCCTTTTGCTCGCCAGAGTCGCACGCAAGTTGAGTTCGGAAGCGAGCGGGGCCGGACCGGAGCGGAGGGGAGCGGAGGTAGTGGAATTTGGGGTAAGTGCAACGAGCGCACCATCCGAGAGGGTTTTCAGTGTTGCTGCAAATGTTGCCACCCCTCTCAGATCCTCTCTCAAACCGTATATGGTTAACATGCTGGTTTTCCTTGTATGTAACAAGGACGTGACCGAGCTATAAATCACGTCATTCGTGTGTGTGAAAGTGAAATGATAGTGCGCCCGCCCCGGCGCGCGCGCGCCCGGTACATGTAATTTTTTATGCTTGATTTTAAACAACTAAACAAAATGGGGACTTGTTTCTTATTTGTTAGATGCTGCAGCCAAATGTGCATTTAAAAGTTTAACCTTCTCCTGAATTTTGTTGTTTTTAAGTTCAGTCGGACTCTGTCGGAGAAACAAACGTTACTGCGATCTGTGTTGTTACTGCCCTTTGATCTGCATTCAGTAAAGTGTTATAAAAGAAGGCACGGCAATTTTTAACCTTTTTTAAATGTGTAAACATTATGTTTAGATAGTACTGCAATAAAAAAAAGGACTGCAATAATATCGCATACCGCAATATTAAGCCACCCTGAATCACCGCAGGGGTAATTCCTCAACCACGACAGCCCTATTAGTCAAATAAATATTTTTAATAAAGCTAATCAAAGTGTTAAGTCAATAATAAGATGTTGACCAATCTGTGAAATGACAATGTTATGATTAGTAAACTTTAATGAGTAATATGACTTTAGTCTAGCTGCACTAGACATTCTGATCACACGTAATGTAAACGCATGACACATTGTTTACTCATCCAATCAGAACCTTCCTTTCTGAAGCGTGGCATAGTCTCTGTGGTGTTTATAAATCTGCCAACTTCGATTCGACCGCAAATCAAAACATCCAGATTAATAAAACCAGTCCCACGCCATCTTAGTCCAGTTCTCTGCATGCTAAGAGAAGTATCGGACCGCCCGGCCACCCGGACTTCCTTTTTAAGCGAAGAACCAACAAGCTGGATAAAATCTGTTGCACTTTACCAACCAAGCAACAGTTCCTTTCAGAATAAAAGCTGAACTCACTGACCCTCCGGGTCCATCTGACGCTGTCAACCAACTGTCGCTTTTTACCTGGAGACAATCCAAAGACTAGTCTGTCGTACTGCTGACGCTGTTTCATCGGGTCCGGTACCGAAAGGGGGGTCCGAGGACCCGGCATTCTGGATCTGTACGGATGTCTCATCCTGAAGGGTATGTGTGGAGCGGCAAAATGGCGTCTCATGTGTTTATGAAATTCCGATCATAGCTTAAGAGCAAAACATCACTTCCCACTCAGACGTGCTTCTCCGGATACGGGAGTTCTGATGACATCATCACTCACACATACACCATCCATCTCACGACTCATTCACACCAGATCCATCCTTTCACTTAGAGTTTAGACTTAGTCTTGTTTAAAACTGTTTAGAAATAAATCTTCTTAAACGTTTTAAAGGTGACTCTCTCTTCTGTTGTCTCTCAGTTAATGCGAAGTGTTACATAATCCCTGCAATAAAAAGTTCCAATCTTCTGGTTAAAAGTACCCAAAGATCCATAAGATTGATTTCATATTTACTGTGAAATCTCGTGTCTTATGGTTCATTAAATAGATGTAAATTAACCCTTTACAAAATGATGGAATGTAAACTTAGATGTTATGTTAACAAAACCTGACTGAGTGTCTTAGAAAATCGTGATAAAATGAATCTGACTGTATAGTTTAACAAATTATCAATTATTTAAACCATCCACGCCAGTTGAGCAAAATCTACGAACACTTGTAGTGAAGGCTCGGCAATCCAGGGGCCGGAGAAGTCAGTACGGACAGACAGCCAATGGAGTTGACTTCTGTGGTATTCGGAGCCCGTAGTTCCACCCCGAATACCGAACCGCTGGTCTGGGATACCGTCAGGCTGAAGGCTGGCGGTCAGACAAGGTTTGCATCTGATGCAGCTTTTCAGGTTTGTAAAAAAGGTTTAACCTTGAAGATGGGTCCTTGTGCTTTACTGGCCCAGGCGGCCGAACTGGACAGCTCGCTAGAAATGACTTTAGAGGAAGTGTCAACTGTTTTTAGTAACTATTGTTTATCAATTTGGACAAATCAGAATTTGACAAGTTAAAAGTGGGCCAAACACCTCAGACACCACTCCTTTCTCAAACACGTAGACAGTTTTATCCCTCAATGTGAAGTAAATATGTTAAACATTCATAATTACATTATTAATGTGTGAATTTACTGATAGATCAGTATTAAATTCAACAAATCGACTAATCTGGTGCAACTTAAGATCTGGAATAAATCCTTATAGAAATGAACATTAGTTAGCTCATTAGTCATTACTGTAGAGCACTCAATATTATTAAAACACTTTAGATTTAAAACATATTTTAGGCACACAGAATATGATTGTAAATACCTGGTTAAGTTAGAAAATAACTTTCTAAGCCACAAAAGAGAACTTTAATAAAGGATTTAGATAAAGTCTTGTGTTTTGGTGTCTTATGATATGGAAAATGATCAAGTTCAGAGATATTTATAATCCACACCTCCGGCTGCAGGCTGACACACCCTGTGTCATTGCACAAAGATGAAACTCATGCCTTGAGCATTCTGTTATTTGCTAAGCAATATGTAGTAGGCCATATGGAACATCATTTAAAGCTGCATTTTTGTCATATACCGTTATCTTAAACCTATATTGTTTGATCTTATGTTGCTATTTTTGTCTAGAAACATGTATATATTTGCTAGTTAGATTTTGTGTGGCTAGTATTAGCAAGCGAAGGGACTGGAGATGGAAATTAAGCATGGCACTGTGGTTTTCACTTCTTAAATCTGTGGTCTCACTACTTTTAATATTTGTATTGTTTTGGTTTGTTTGTAACCGTTCTTTGTTGTATTAATTTTATGATGTAACTATTTTGTGCTGTTGTTTTATTTTAGACAGTGCTTTGGTTGGTTGTAATGCCATGTTGAAAGCACTTTTATAAATAAAACGGTATGGTATGGCTATCATCTCACATATTCCATACTCATATAAACAAAACCAGAGGTGGAACATAACGGATTACATTTACTCGCGTTACTATACTCGGGTATGAGTGTTTGAATCTGAGTAGGGGTAGGGATTTTCTAAGAGACTTCCATGTTACATTTTTCTGACTCCTGCACCCGTTTCACTTTAGCGGAGAAGAAGAAGAACTAGATCTGAAACCAGTTATCAACGGGTTCCAAGCACACCAGCGCGCGTCCTCCACCTGGTCCCACTCCTGCCTTTGCCATTCCTCATGTGGCTCCGCCCCTAAAATACGTTTTTTTTTGCCAGCGTCCTATCAGCTCACTTCAACCAGCACAATGAAATGAACACTCAGAATGACTCTTTGAACCCTTTGCACAGCCTATATGGAATACTTTCATAGGCATGACTAACATCTCAATCTTTATTACAACCCAATTCCATCATTTAATTTTTAAAGATCATCGAGATTTAGTTAGTTAAGTCACGTGCTGTAAGGGACGGCAGTGCTCAGGAGGTAGAGCGGTTTTTCCAGTAATCGGAGGGTTGCAGGTTCGATTCCGACTCTGACCAGAGAATGCTGTTGTTGTGTCCTTGGGCAAGACACCGAACCCACAGTGCCTGATGGTGATGGTTGGAAGGACGGGTGGCCCCAGTGTTCAGCAGGCCTTGCCTTTGTCAGTCTCTACGTTTACATGCAGCCAATATCCGGGTTATGATCGGGTTAAGGTCGGTATTCGGGTTTCTGAGTTGATCAGAATAACCCGTTTACAAGCATAAATAGAAAGAGTTACCTCTAACTTGCATAACCCGATTTAAATGCGGATGTTGGGGTAGCGTCAGGACGTGTGGACTACGTCCAGACGTAATATGCCTCATTTCCGGTTCTTCTTGTTCTGGTATCCATGAAAGCAACATGTTTCCCAGTTCGGAAGAGATAGCGACCGCGTTTGTTTGTGCTTTAGTTTCCTCGTCACTCCAAAAGTGTGGTGCTGTGCCGCGACTCGCCATGTTGCCCCCAACTTGTTGTTTGCTTCCGGTGTTCTGGCGCATACAAGACGTCTCGCTACTCAAAAGACCAAGATTCCTTGCGAACAGAGCATGCGCAGAACACACGCTTTGATGGGGATATCCCGGTATGCGTTTACACGACCAAACATTCGGGTTAGAAAAGGTGTAGTAACCGGGTTTTTAAAAACCTGGTTATGAGCATATCCGGGTTTTTGGCGGCGTTTACAAGGACCTGCGGAACCGGGTTATTGTGAATATTCGGGTTTTAAAAGGATTACTGGCTGCATGTAAACGCATTGAGTGAGTCCCAGGGCAGCTGTGGCTACATTGTAGCTCATCCCCACCAGCGTCTGACTGTGTGAGTGAATGGGTGAATGACTGATTGTGTTGTTAAGTTGCCTTGGGGGGTTGTAGTACCCTACGAAGGTGCTATACAAATACAGGCCATTTACCATTTAAATAATTACTGACAATGTTTATTAAATTAATTAAAATTGTATTCTTTTTAAAGAAATTTCTAAAAATTTCTTGGATCATCATGGGACCATGAAAAATCATGATCTGTTTCTAAATTAAATGTTTTTTCAATAAAAAAATTATATTGAGATTTAAAATTAAATTGACCAAAACAAAAACTTTATTATAAAATCCATATTTGATCTAAAGATTACCAAACAATTATCTGATCCTCAATAGTATATTGGGAATAATAATAATACTTATTAATGTCTCTAGAGTCAATGCAATTTCAACAAAATCTATGACTTTCATTGTATGACTTACTGATGAAATGATTTTTAAAAATCCTAAAAAAAAATCATACATCATCACAAAATTACCAAAATATTCTCACATGGCAATGTCAACATGTGGAAAAAAATGGTGTTGTTGTTGAATCAGTAGATTCAAAGCTTTTTTTTCAAGGAAAAATGGGTAAATGTAATTTTAATGGTCACGCCCAAAACTAAAATATTCATTAAAAAAATTCTATTTTATAAAATTAGTGGAAAATTCTCAGATCACCATACATGCAATGTTATATGTGATTTATAAAAACTTTCTAAAAAAATTATTTACTTTTTTATTCAACAATACTAAAAATGTGACAAAGTTAAAAAGCATTTAAAAAAATCTATGCTTTCTTACAAAAATCTCTTAATATTCATAGATTGCTTTTATGATGTGGGACATCTGCCTATATTTTTCTAAGGATCAAAAATGTAAAACTTATCTGAAAATCAAATAATATTTGTACTAGTGGCTGTCAATCAGAATAATCCTAATGTTAAACACAAGGGGGTGCTCAAATCAGGACTACATTTTGTGTGTTTCATAAACCACCTAAGAGTGAACTCTGTGCCAAAATTCAAGAAGTTTGGCATAATGAAATTCGTGCTACAACTGCTAGCCTAAAAATACACTTTCGTAAATTGAAAGACCAAACCTCTTCACGGAGCTGCGATTTTTGTTATATGATCTCATTACTATGCAGTTAAAACAACCTAAAAACTTTTGCCTCCTACATGCAAATAAAGATTTTTAGGAATTTTTAAAATTTTGAAATTTTACACGATCTTAAACCACCCACTTTGAGCCATCATTACCATATTGATATTATAGTCTTAAGACTGTAAAATGAAGACATCCACAAAGTTTCATGCACATCCATTAAGCCATTTTGACAGTATAAATTCTTCCTATTTATAGCACCCCCTATTTTTGAATCAAACTGAAAATCAGCATATACACATAAATTGAACTTAGGTACTGTTGATATGAAGAGCTTTGAAAAATGTCAAAACCTTTTGAAGTTTTACTAAAAAAACTTTTGTATTTAAAGTTTTTCATTTTGAAGGCAAGGACAAGGCAAGGCAGCTTTATTTGTATAGCACCTTACAACAGCATAAAACCGACCAAAGTGCTTCACAGAAATTAAAGCATTAAAAACAGTACACAACATAAAAATGAATAAAGACTAAAGCTAACATGTGATGGCAGCATCCATGTCCCCACAACAGTGAACGTTAGTACTGTCATGCACTTTCATGATTTCAGTTTGTAAGCTTACATTTCTTTGGATTTATTGTTTAGATGGCTTAAATGCATTAGTTCTAATTGTAAGCGTGCCCCCACCCCCTATTTTTGTAAATATAAAGTGCAAACTTCTTCATGGAGCGGCGATCTTCGTGATATGAACTCAACGCTACACAGACAACACAACCTAACGATATTTGCCTCTTACATGCAAATAATGATTTATAGGAATTTTTTCAAATTTGAAAATTTAAACAATCGTAAACCACGCCCACTTTGATCGATCATTACCATATTGATATTGCAGACCTAAGACTCTATAAAGATGACAACCACCAAGTTTCAGGCAAATCCATTTAGCCAGTTCAGCAGTAAATTCTTCCTATTTATAGCGCCCCCTATTGTTGAATCAAGCTAAAAATAAACAGATACACTTGAATTGACCTTAGGAACAGTAGTTATGAACAGCTTTGAAAAATGTCAAAATCTTTTAAAGTTATACTAAAAAAAGTTTTCATTAAAAAAATTTAATTTAAAAAGTCAAATTTCCAAAAAAAATAAATCATCAAAAATCCGTCCACATCGTTTGGTCAGCCGTTCCTCCCCTCTTGTCAGGCAAAGTTTTCAGTTGATTGGATTTGACAGCCGGGAGGAGTTAACAAAAGTACGTTTGAATTTTATGCAAATTTCTACTAATTTGCATAAGTTTAGAAACATTTTTGAAAGTACTCATCTAAATTTGATTGACTCAATGAACATACAGGATGAGATCATTTGTTTGTTTGTTTTACTGAAGAAATGGGGAGAAAATTGCCCAAAACATTTTTTGGGTACAACAGCACCACCTATTGGACTAAATTCAAATTTTTTCTGTGATTATAGATGACACTATTACTGATATGAACTGTAACTTTCTGCATAGAATATATATTTTTCATGAGTTAAAGGGTAAGAATTTTTAAAGCCTATGAGCCACGCCCTCTTTTAAATCATTTTCAAATTATAGCTTAAGGGTCCGATGATAAACATCTGTGCCAGGTTCTGTGTAAATCCATCAAGCCGTTGTGCTGAAACAAACCTTTAGACTCTTTAGCACCCCTTATTGGTAAATCAAAACAAAATTAAGTAGATGTGGATTACAGCTCATACTTTGTAAGAGTCTAAAGTCTCATCATCTAAACCTAAAACATTGTGGAGATATCATCAATTAGGACGTGTGCTAGCTAGCACACTTAATTTGACATGATGTCATTAGCCCAGTTTTCAATATTTCCGCATTTTATTCATCACAACGACTTAGCTTAGTCTATAGATCATATGTACAAAGTTTGAAGTTGATTCGACAAAAAATGACAGATTAGTGATTAAAATTATGTTTAGCATTTTTGCGATCTGGCAAAATATCTAGTTGGGCGGAAATAGGCGTGGCCAATAAAAACGACATGCAGAATCATCCAAGGATCAAGCACATATAAAGCGTTTGACTGTAGGGCCTATGGTATGCTTTGGGAGCTAGTAGCTGAAACGCATTGACCTTCGCAACAGCGCCACCTAGGTGACTCCGGGTACAAATTTTGGAGGCTGAGTAGCGGTCAGGATTTTCTATCAGACTGCCATGTCAGATTTTTCTGGGATTTTCTGGCTCCTGCGCCCATAGCGGAGAAGAATAATGCCGGGAAAATAATGAAAAATCTGTACAAAAACAATAGGGTTCCCTGCCCGTTGGGCTTGGAACCCTAATAATGAAAAATACATATAAAAACAATAGGGTTCTCTGCCTTTGGGCTTGGAACCCTAATAAAGTGGATATTACTTACTATAAGTTTCCTTTCAAATTTTCACCTTCATGTTGACTGTTAATGACTCGTAAATTTGCAAAAACAGTAAAAAGTCCTCACCCTGAAGACAACAACATCTGTTGGTCCGAGTGTGTCGCTGAGTGGGTCATCGTCTGCTCCGCTCAGGACATGGAACAACAGATAAGCCAGCGCGTACACTGTGATGTTGGCTATGACAGTGAAGGCATACCTGCTCATACAGAGGAGAAAGTGGTGATCAGGGTCAACCCATCCCTGACTCTGGCCTGTGGTGTGTTTTGAGTCATGCTACCTGTACGCAGTTAGCTCTACTTTAGCGTGTTCACAGGTGACGAGCTCTGGAATGAGGGACAGATGAGAGATCTGAGTGGCAGCCCAGCCAAACTGGAAGATGATGATGAACGGAGTGAAGTACAGCAAACTGGCCCATTGAGGTGTGTTGGGGTCACAGCCCAGGCACTGGTTAAAGATGAAGGCAAAGGACAGCACCACACTTAGTGTTCCTAGATCAGAAAAGCAAACAAACACAAACAGAGTGTCTTTGCTCACTCAGTCAGGTGACAACACACATACACATAAAAAACATGGTCAAACCCTTTCTTAAAGGTACATTATGTTGAAATGAAGTAAAAATGACATCCTGTGGTAACATTTGGTTACTGCAACCCAAGGGCGTAGATTTGGCATGGACGGACAAGAAATGTCCCCACCAACATCTAGCAATGACCAAATAGTCCGTACCAATAATGTGACGTCCTCAGTTAAAAAACAACAAGCCATTCAATGTCTCGTTGCCCTAGAGGTGCAAAAAGCGTTAAAAATAGAGGCGCTGAAAAAATCGATTCAAGTCTGTATCGGGATTCTTATTTATAAAGATTCAGAATCGATTCACAAAGGTTCAGTCGATCCCATGAACTCAAATTTTTGGCATGTTACAGGTTTGAGATGCACTTTTGTCTGTTTTATTATCTTTGTTAGGAGAGTTAGTACTTTGTTTACTTTGTTGTCCCATAAATTGAGATGATTTATGTTTGAATCTGCAGATAAGAGGGCACTTGAATGCAATTTTTTCCATACTCATTCATTTGAAATATTCTCATATTTATTTTCTAAGTTGATAAGTGAGGACTCAGGATTACTCAAGTATTTATTTTCTAAGTTGATACGTGAGTACTCAGGATTACTCGTGTATTTATTTTCTAAGTTGATAAGTGAGGGCTCAGGATTACTCAAGTATTTATTTTCTAAGTTGATACGTGAGTACTCAGGATTACTCGCGTATTTATTTGAAGTTACTGATAAATGAGAGAACATATTTTCCTTTGTAAGAAATCGGAGGCACTTTTTTAAACAGGTTGAGGACTCAAATGTTAAACTTGTTTCTACACATACTTGACAAATATTTGACTGTATTACTTTCAAAGCTACTGTTAGATAACTAAAGATTTGTTATATTTTACAAGGTAAGCAAAAATAAATGTTGCCTTTTGGTCAAAAGATTGCTTCTGTTTACAGTTTTAGAATCACTTTATTTTACATTGTAAATTAGCATTTTTTGAGCATGACCAGTATAAAGTAAAATAAAAATGTCCCATAGCTTTAACTAACTTGTACAACAAAGTAGTTAATCCCAGAACTGACAGGCTATGTTAACATTGATTGTGAATTGATTAAATCGAGAATCGAATCGACACCCAGAGAATCGGAATCGAATCAAATCGTGGGTTGCTCCAAGATTCACATCCCTAGTTAAAAACCATTCTCTCCACGTGTCCTACCTCCATAGTGCATATGGCCAGTGGCTGCGCATGCCGTCACAGGAGACTCACGAGAGACAACCCACACAGGTTGTTAGCAGTGCCAAGGCTCGAAGGAAAATGTTCCAGTCATATGCAAGACTCCAGTGTTGGCAATGCGACGTGAGTGACACATGGGGTCAAAAGCGAGGCAGTGTAACTGAGGGTCCAGAGAGGATGACGCTAACTGTATAAAAGCTGCACATGAAGAGAGGATGATGGCCATGAACGCAAGAGGCTCCGTCACTTCACATTACAGCAGTCAAGTTCCCCAACAACCAACCCACACACTTCCAGTCGTCACAATAAAGCGCTATACAACACATCCTGTCAGGCTGTATTAATCAAAATAAGGGGCTCCACACACGGGAGACAACAAATGACCGCGATCAGCTAAATTCGTCGCTGTCGCTTTCATTACCTGACACACGGGAGACGACCCGCGGCAGCGGCAAAGCCGTCTTCGCCTTCTGTTCCATGGCGAAATCGAAACTTCCGTTGTTTTGTTTGGCTGTGTCAGGTTGGAGGGAATTAAGGTTATTTAAGTGGTTCAGAGTTAATAAAGTGGTAGATATGATGTTTCACAAGGTGCTGCTAGAGTTATGTGAAATCTTACTTCTGGTTTTACTATAAAACATAATAGTAATAAACTTCTCTTCCATGGTTGCTTGGAGATGTACGGAGCATTCTGCCCACTCATTGGTCAGTGAATGAAACCTCCGTTGATTGGTCCTCGTCCGAGCGACAGCGATGAAAAGTTGAAAATATTTCAACTTTCTGGGATCGCGTCGCTGGGTCGCCTGTGCACGACACGTGCACGAGCGCAAAATTTCACACGCACGTTTTTTGTGTTTCGCTTAGCAGAAGGGAGACCCGCGATTATTGCTTTGTTGCGCATGTCTCATTGAAAATGAATGGAGGAGAGGCAATGTCGCCTCCCGTGTGTCGAGCCCATAAGAGTATCGCAAAAGTAGTTTACATGCTTCCCTCTAACAAAAAATATAAGCATTCCCGTCAAAGGTTGGGACATTGGTACACGTTCATTTAGAAGGCCATGCTTGGATAACTTCCAACTACATCTGTAACTTAAAGAGGTGTGACCAAGTCACTGCTTTGCAAGTCACAAGTCTTTCGAGTCAAGTCCAAGTCAAAGACAACCAAGTCCAAGTCGAGTCCAAAATCAATGATGTGGAAGTCCAAGTCAAGTCCTAGTCCTTAACTTTGATATTTTCAAGTCATATTCAAGTCATCTGTCCAACTTCAATTTAATGACAATGATAATAAATACATTCCAGAAATAAAGTTTCTTAAAGCTTCATTTATTTTCTCAAACAAGCAGAAAGTACAACTGAAACTTATAAACAAAGTGCTGCTGCATTCAACAGTACAAGATCAAACCCAGAACGAAGAATGATTTATGATTTTTGTCCATGTCATGCCACTTTTCTGCAAAAATATAAAATATGCTCAAGTCATCACCAAGTCAACAGATTCAAGTCAATTCAAGTCGCAAGTCATTGGCGTTCAAGTCCGAGTCAAGTCGTAAATCCTTATAGATTTTATCAAGACAAGTCAGAAGTCCTTAAAAGAATGACTTGAGTTTGACTCGAGTCTAAGTCATATGACTCGAGTCCGCAACTCTGGTAACTTAATCTCAAGGAGAAGTGTAACTTCTCACAGTCTGCGAGTAAATAATCAATTGTGACTTTGTGTTCCGTTTACTCGCACCAAACTGGGCAAAAGGACTTTGTTCACTCTGCTCCTTCTGCATGAAACAGGCTGCAGGACAATGGGAAATTAACCGAGTTCATCTCCTTGAACACATTTAAAACCAGACTGAGAGCCCCTGAGAAGGATCCCCTGTGTTGTAACTGCATTCTCTAATTTAGTACATAACATGTCTGTGTAACTAAACCATTTTCTTAACTGTAACTTTTGCTGCCTCTTGGCCAGGACTCTCTTGAAAATGAGGTTTTTAATCTCAATAGGACCTTCCTGGTTAAATAAAGAATAAATACATAAAATACTGATGACTATTTTGTAAGCACTTCATGCAGTGTCTGACACAGTTAAATGTAGAGTTATGTAGTTCAATATAATTGTATCAAATTCCTATCTCAAGTTCTCGTTGTATTTGATGTATTCTTCCTTATGCAGTCTCCTTCGTTTAGTGAAAACTAGCTGGAAATAACCTTCGTTGTCTTTCCTCTAAGGGTCCTGTAAACTAAACCAGTGTAGTTTTCAAGGCCCTTTTTGTAGCCGTGCATGTTTGTTCGGCCTACTTTTTGTAATCTCTATTGATCCAAACACATTTCTTCTCTCTGCATGTTTGTCCAAAAGGACACAACATTTGATCCTGGAATTCCCAGAAAATGTAGAAGTTAGGACTTGAAGCAGGCGATTTCCTTTTAGCTACAATGTAAATAAACTGTCACTAAATTTAGAGAAAACAAAATTTATGTTGTTTGGTAATGAAGGTAGATACAATGAATTAGATATAGTAATTAATAATGTAAAAATTGAGAGAGTATATGAAATAAAATTTCTTGGGGTGGTCATAGACAGCAGGATCTGTTGGAAGCCACACATCAAATATGTTGGGGGAAGCTTGCACGGGGCATTGCTATATTGGGGAAAGCTAAGTATATTTTTAATCAGAAAGCACTTTATATATTATACAATACGATGCTATTGCCATATTTGAGCTATTGTGTAGAGGTCTGGGGAAACACGTACAAAAGTCGTTTACAAACAATAACGACAATGCAGAAAAGGGCTATCAGATTAATAACAAATGCAGGATATTTGGATCACACAAATGAACTTTTTATTAAAACACGGACAATGAAGTTCCAGGACTTGGTTAAATACAAAACAGCACAAATAATGTATAAAGTAAGAAATAAATTAATGCCTGATAAAATACAGAAACTGTTCACAGAGAGAGAGGAGGATATAACCTGAGAGGGACACTAAACTTAAAGATCCATAAGTTTAGAACAACATTAAAACAGATGTGTATCACAATAATAGGGGTTAAATTATGGAACAATTTAGAAGAAGAAATCAAAGTAAGTACAAATATAAATGTGCTTAAAATGAATTATAAAAAACATATTCTGAACAAGTATATAGTGGAAAATAGATGATTTATGTGGGTGTCCTTTATTCCAAGGAAAAGTAAATTGTATCAATTGTAAAAAGATGTTTTTTTTTCTTTTTTTATTTTTTCCATATAATTTGGTGGTTTTTTGGTGACTTGTACCATTTTGTTTGTTTTAATGTAGGTTTTGTGTTAGATTTAAGTAAACAAGTAAAAATTACTTGTATAAAGGGGTAGGGACATATAAGTTTCCACTTCAGCCTACTCCTTTTCAAACACAGATGGGATGATATGTATTTTTTCTGTTTGTGGTACTTTTTAAAAAATTATGTATGTTTTCTTTGTTTGAAATAAACTAAACAAAACTAAAAACAAACAAACTTCTATCAGGAAACAACTACACACAAATCTCACTCCCTCTGAAATTCATTAACATGGAGACTGTGAACCGCAACACATTCTTCACAATTCAAGACACATATTGTGTAGACTCCATCAAAGATTTCTGGGATTAGATGAGGTCCAAGGAAATCGAGCGCCTATGTGGGAAAGATTTTGTGCTTTTGGGTAAACCTAAACAGAGTTTCCTGCCTACCTGCATTGA